CCAGTGCCATCCAACAGTGCTCTATTGGTACCCAGTGCCATCCAACAGTGCTCTATTGGTACCCAGTGCCATCCAACAGTGCTCTATTGGGTACCCAGTGCCATCCAACAGTGCTCTATTGGGTACCTGATGCCATCCAACAGTGCTCTATTGGTACCCAGTGCCATCCAACAGTGCTCTATTGGGTACCCAGTGCCATCCAACAGTGCTCTATTGGTACCCAGTGCCATCCAACAGTGCTCTATTGGTACCCAGTGCCATCCAACAGTGCTCTATTGGGTACCCAGTGCCATCCAACAGTGGTCTATTGGGTACCCAGTACCATCCAACAGTGCTCTATTGGGTACCCAGTGCCATCCAACAGTGCTCTATTGGTACCCAGTGCCATCCAACAGTGCTCTATTGGGTACCCAGTGCCATCCAACAGTGCTCTATTGGGTACCCAGTGCCATCCAACAGTGCTCTATTGGTACCCAGTGCCATCCAACAGTGCTCTATTGGGTACCCAGTGCCATCCAACAGTGCTCTATTGGGTACCCAGTGCCATCCAACTGTGCTCTATTGGGTACCCAGTGCCATCCAACAGTGCTCTACTGGGTACCCAGTGCCATCCAACAGTGCTCTATTGGGTACCTGATGCCATCCAACAGTGCTCTGTTGGGTACCCATTACCATCCAGCTGTGCTGTACTGGGTGCCCAGTGCTATACTGAGTGCTCAGTCCCATCCAGCTGTGCCATAGTGGGTGCTCAGTCCTGTCCAGCCATGCTGTACTGGATACCCAGCTCCATACCGGGCATCCAGTCCCATCCAGCAGTACCAGTTTGGACACCAGTGTCATCCAGCAGTGCTATACTGGGCACCCAGTCCCATTCAGCCTGTGCCATACTGGGCAACTATTCCTGTCCACGCTGTGCTATACTGGGTGCCCATTGCCATAGTGCCTGGTTCCCACTTGGTGCTCCCAGCATCCACCACCCGGTTCCCAGTGCCCTCTGCCTGCGCTGGGGTGATGCTGCCAACTGGTTCCCAGACTGGGCTACTCAGCGCCTGGTCCGGGCTACCACAACTGGATGGGGTAACTGGCTCCCAGTAACAGGCACAGGCTTCCCAGTGACCAAACTGGGCTGCGTGGTGCAGGGCTCCTGCTGCCCAGTTCCAGGTTGCCCAGTGCCCTGCTCCCAGTGCTGGGTGCCCAGGGCCCTGATCCCAGTGACTGATACCCCACTCCCAATGCCCTGTTCCCAGTGCCCAGAGCAGGGTTCCCAGTGCAGGATGCCCCATTCCCAGTGCCAGGAGTAAGAATCAGGTTCCCAGTGCCTGGTGCAGGGCTTCTGGTGCCCATTCCCAATGCTCCTATTGCCCAGTGCCCAGTTCCATGTTCCCAGTACAGGATGCCCCATTCCTGGTGTCAGGTTCCCAGTGCCCAGTTCCATGTTCCCAGCGCAGGATGCCCCATTCCTGCTGCCCAGTTCCCAGTGCCCAGTTCCATGTTCCCAGTGCAGGATGCCTCATTCCTGCTGCCCGGTTCCCAGTGCCCAGTTCCAGGTTCCCAGTGCAGAATGCCCCATTCCTGCTGCCCAGTTCCCAGTGCCCAGTTCCAGGTTCCCAGTGCAGGATGCCCCATTCCTGCTGCCCAGTTCCCAGTGCCCAGTTCCATGTTCCCAGTGCAGGATGCCCCATTCCTGGTACCCAGTTCCCAGTTCCATGTTCCCAGTGCAGGATGCCCCATTCCTGCTGCCCAGTTCCCAGTTCCATGTTCCCAGTACAGGATGCCCCATTCCTGGTGTCAGGTTCCCAGTTCCCAGTTCCATGTTCCCAGTACAGGATGCCCCATTCCTGCTGCCCAGTTCCCAGTTCCATGTTCCCAGTGCAGGATGCCCCATTCCTGGTGTCAAGGTTCCCAGTGCCCAGTTCCATGTTCCCAGTGCAGGATGCCCCATTCCTGGTGTCAGGTTCCCAGTTCCATGTTCCCAGTGCAGGATGCCCCATTCCTGGTACCCAGTTCCCAGTGCAGGATGCCCCATTCCTGCTGCCCAGTTCCCAGTTCCATGTTCCCAGTGCAGGATGCCCCATTCCTGCTACCCAGTTCCCAGTTCCATGTTCCCAGTGCAGGATGCCCCATTCCTGCTGCCCAGCTCCCAGTTCCCAGTTCCATGTTCCCAGTGCAGGATGCCCCATTCCTTGTGTCAGGTTCCCAGTGCCCAGTTCCATGTTCCCAGTACAGGATGCCCCATTCCTGCTGCCCAGTGCCCAGTTCCGTGTTCCCAGTGCAGGATGCCCCATTCCTGGTGTCAGTTTCCCAGTTCCATATTCCCAGTGCAGGATGCCCCATTCCTGCTGCCCAGTTCCCAGTTCCATGTTCCCAGTACAAGATGCCCCATTCCTGCTGCCCAGTTCCCAGTGCCCAGTTCCAGGTTCCCAGTGCAGGATGCCCCATTCCTGGTGTCAGGTTCCCAGTGCCCAGTTCCATGTTCCCAGTGCAGGATGCCCCATTCCTGCTGCCCAGTTCCATGTTCCCAGTGCAGGATGCTCCATTCCTGCTGCCCAGTTCCCAGTTCCCAGTTCCATGTTCCCAGCACAGGATGCCCCATTCCTGCTACCCAGTTCCATGTTCCCAGTGCAGGATGCTCCTCTCCCGATACCGGTACCCACCGCTCGCTTCACCCGGTGCCGGGTGCCCAGTACCGGATGCCCCGCTCCCAGTGACAGAGCCCCCACTCCCATTGCCCTACGCCCGCTACCGGATGCCCCTCTACTCGCCGGCCGCTCGGCGGCGCTACCACCGGGGGTTGGAAATGGGGGGGGGCCGGCGGCCCCGGTTCAAACCCCCCCCCCCGCCCCTCACCGTGGTCTCCGGGCGGCCCCGCTCGCTGCACCCACGCGCTCCAGCTCTGCCCCGCGAACTCGTCCAGGCCGGGCACCCTCCGCTCCGCCGCCGCCATCGCCGCCGCCGCCGCCTCCTCCTCCTCTTCCCCCCCCCCCCTTCCACCGCCGCCACCGTCGCCACCGCCCCGTGCACCCCCGCGCATGCGCTGCGCGCCCCCGCCCGCCCCGCGGCACCACGGGCGGTGTAGTCCCGCCTCCCCACCCCTCCATTGCCGGTACCCCCCGATACCGGCATCGGTGCGGGTATGGGTACGGTGCGGTAACGGTGCGGTGCGATGCGATGCGATGCGATGGGATGCGATGGGGACGCGGCCGCACACCCCGTACAGGGATGGGACCGGGGACTCCATATACCCTATACCAGCCGGCAACCCCGGGTCCTATATAGCTCCTATACGACGATGGAGACCTGGGTCCTATACACCTCTATACCGGGATGGGACCGAGGTCCACTATGGTGTCTATAGCGGGGTGATGACCGGAACCCTATGCACCCCTACATAGGGATAGGACAGGGGATTCCTTATACCCTATACCACCCGGCAACCCCGGGTCCTATATACCCCCTATACCGGGTCCTGTGCGCCTCCATACCGGCATTGGACCGAGGTCCTCTATGGTCTCTATAGTGGGGTGATGACTTGGAACATATGCACCCCTATATAGGGACGGGACCAGGGACTCCATATACCCTATACCAGCCGGCAACCCCGGGTCCTATATACCACCTATATGAGGATGGAGACCCGGGTCCTATACACCTCTATACCAGCATGGGACTGAGGTCCGCTATGCTCTCTATAGTGGGGTGATGACTTTGAACATATGCACCCCTATATAGGGATGGGACCGGGGATTCCATATACCCTATACCAGCCGGCAACCCTGGGTCCTATATACCCCCTATACAAGCATGGAGACCCGGGTCCTATGCACCTCTATACCGGGATGGGACCGAGGTCTGCTATGCTCTCTATAGCCGGGTGATGACTTGGAACCTATGCACCCCTATATAGGGATGGGACCTGGGACTCCCTATACCCCCTGTAACGGGATGAGGACTGGGGTTCATACACCACAGTACTGGGATAGGAGCAGGGGTCCATATACTGCCTATATTTGCTCTAGGGACCCGAGGCTCCTTATACCTCCTAAACCAAGGTGGGACCACGGCCTTATATAGTCCCTATACTGGGACGGGGACTGGCATCCTCTGCACCCCTATACAGTGATGGGGATCCCAAGGGTTACCCCTATGTAGGGCTGGACAACCAAGGGTGACATATATACCCCTATATGGGTCTGAAGACCAGGGTCACCCCTATATGGGGCTGGGGACATTGGGTTACCGCTATATAGGGCTGGGGACCCCGGGGTTACATACACCCCAACAGTGGGCTGAGCCCTGGGCTCGGGTGCTCCCCAGTCCAAGCTGACCTCAGGGGTATAGGCCCCTATAGAGCTGGGCAGCGGTTACCTGGGCCCCTATAGGGGCAGGACACCCCGGGGATGGACATACCCCTCTATAAAGCTCCTTTTACAGAGCAGGGACCCCAGGGGGTGTCACACACCCCTCTATATAGCTCCCAGGACCCCAAGGGGAGTACATACCCCTATATAGGGCTCCTTATCCAGAGCAGGGACCACGGGGTGGGGGGTATATATGCCTCTATAAAGCAACCCAGGGGTTGTACACCCCCCCCATGCAGCTCCCTATGCACACCAGGTACCGTACATCCCCCCCTATACCCCTCCCTATGCACACCAGGTGCCGTACATCCCCCCTATACAGCTCCCTATGCACACCAGGGGCCGTACATCCCCCCTATACCCCTCCCTATGCACGCCAGGGCCCGTACATTCCCCCTATACAGCTCCCTATGCACACCAGGTGCCGTACATCCCCCCCTATACAGCTCCCTATGCACACCAGGGGCCGTACATCCCCCCCATACAGCTCCCTATGCACACCATGGGCCATTCACCCCCCCCATACAGCCCCCTATGCACACGCGGGGGTCTCCCCCCCCGACACCGAGCTGGTACCCAGGTGTTTATAGGCCCCCATAGAGCCGAGGGGGTGATGCAGGGTCCCGTATCCGTGCCCCCCCCCCCATAGCAGCCAGCGGCGCCCCTTCCCCGGGCTGGCGGCCGGCGCGAGGCCCCGGGGCGCGGGCCCCCCCCCCGGTGGGTTCTATTGCTTGTCAATGGCGCCCTGCTCGGCCGCCGCGTCCCGGGGCGCAGCCGGTGCCCCCCACGGCGTCTCCCGCAGCACGGCCCAGCAGTTCCCGGCCCACAGCAGCACGTTGAGGAAGCCGAAGAGCTGCGGGATGGAGCGGGGAGGGGGGGAAACATGGGGTACCCCTTGCGCCTCGTGTGCCCCATGCAGCCCATTGCATCCCATGCAGCCCATTGCACCCCATGCATCCCATGGCATCCCATGAAGCCCATTGCACCCCGTACATCCCATTGCACCCCGTGCAGCCCATTGCATCCCATTGCATCCCATGCAGCCCATTGTATCCCGTGCATCCCATTGCATCCCATGCAGCCCATTGTATCCCGTACATCCCATTGCACCCCGTGCATCCCATTGCATCCCATTGCATCCCATGCAGCCCATTGCACCCCGCGCAGCCCATTGCATCCCGTGCAGCCCATTGCATCCCGTGCAGCCCATTGCATCCCGTACATCCCATTGCACCCCGTGCAGCCCATTGCATCCCGTGCAGCCCATTGTATCCCGTGCATCCCATTGCATCCCGTACATCCCATTGCACCCCGCACATCCCGTTGCACCCTGCGCAGCCCATTGCACCCAGTCCAGCCCATTGCACCCCGTGCACCCCATTGCACCCAGTGCAGCTCATTGCATCCCGTACATCCCATTGCATCCCGTACATCCCATTGCACCCCGCGCTGCCCATTGCATCCCGTGCAGCCCATTGCATCCCGTACATCCCATTGCATCCCACGCAGCCCATTGCACCCCACGCAGCCCATTGCACCTCGTGCTGCCCATTGCATCCTGTGCAGCCCATTGCACCCCGTGCACCCCATTACACCCCGTACAGCCCACTGCACCCCCTGCATCTCATGTGCCCCATGCAGCCCATTGCATCCCATGCATCCCCTTGCAGCCCCTATGCCCCATGTGTCCCATGGCACCCCCTGTGCCTCAAGTGCCCCATGGCACCCCCTGCACCTCATGTGCTCCATGCACCCCATTGCACCCTGTGCATCCCATTGCAGCTCATATGCCCCGTGGGCCTCATGGCACCCCTGCACCTCATGTGCTCCATGCACCCTATACACCCCCTGTACCTCATGTGCCCCATGCATCCCAATGCAGCCCATGGACCCCATGTCCTGTGTGCTCCATGCACCTCCTGTGCCCCATGCATTCCGCACACCCTGTGTGCCCCTGAGCAACCACTGTACCCTGTGCACTCAGTGCATCCCATGCAACCCATACACCCCCTGCATCCCATTGCAGCCCATTGCATCCCATGCATCCCCTTGCAGCCCCTATGCCCCGTGTGCCCGTATACACATGTGTATGCATCCTATATGCCCCATGCATGTGTGTGTGCACATGTGCACATGTCCTATATACCCCATGCATGTGTGTGTGTACATGTGCACATATGTCCTACATACCCCATGCATGTGTGTGTGTGTACATGTGCACATATGTCCTACATACCCCATGCATGTGTGTGTGTGCACATGTGTACATACGTCCTACATACCCCATGCATGTGTGTGTGTACATGTGCACATATGTCCTACATACCCCATGCATGTGTGTGTGCACATGTGCATATGTCCTATATACCCCATGCATGTGTGTGTGTGTACATACGTCCTATATACCCCATGCATGTGTGTGCGCACATGTGCACATATGTCCTGTATACCCCATGCATGTGTGTGTGTGTACATACATCCTACATACCCCATGCATGTGTGTGTGCACATATGCACATATGTCCTATATACCCCATGCATGTGTGTGTGCACGTATGCACATATGTCCTACATACCCCATGCATGTGTGTGTGTACATGTGCACATATGTCCTATATACCCCATGCATGTGTGTGTGTGTGCATATGTCCTATATACCCCATGCATGTGCATATGTGTACATGTGCACACATGCCCTATGTGCCCCATGCACGTTCACACGTGTGTACATGCACACCCCCCCATGCCCCGCACCCACACACGTACCCACATGTGCACACACACACACATCCCCTACAACCACCCTGCTCTCCCCCCATGTGACCACGCTTGCACACGCGTGTGCGCCCGCGGCTCACCACGGAGATGTTGGCCAGCCCCATGGCCGGCGTGGTGCCGTCCTCGCACACCACATCGGTGCCGTGGCACACGGCCATGGCCCCGGTGAGGCTGCCGGGCCTCGTGGCTGCCTTCACATCGCTCAGCCCCTTACCCCAGGCCGCCGCCGCCACCAGCCATAGGAAGGCGAAGCAAACGGTGACGCAGAAATCCTATGGGATACCGGGATCAGCCGCATCCCTCACCCCCCCCCTGCTCCTTAGGGATCCCCATCCTAAGGGATGCCGCTGCCTTACCGCCGATGGGAGCTTCTTGTTCTCGCCATAGAGGGAATGAAAGCGCAGGTAAAGCACCAGAGCTGCCATGGTGTAGAGGAAGGAGAAGACCCCCAGGGTCACGAAGAACTCGGCCGGAGCGGAGAAGTCACCCACGAGGTGCAGGGTGCGGGTGCCCCCCTCGCCCTCGCAGTCCGGCATCTCAAATGGGACCTGGTATAACCTGGGATAACGGGAAGGGGATGGGTGGGATGGCGGGGATGGGTCCCTAAGGAGCCACACTGGGGTGGATGGAGGGCAGGGACCAGCGCTGTGCTGTGCTCTGGTGTCCCAGTGAGGAGCTGGTGGCCAAGGGAAGGGGTTCAGGCTGTGGTGAATGGGTGGATCGGATCCATCCCTGATGATCCCGGATGGTGCCGGATCCAGTGGCCAAGGGAAGGGGTTCAGACTGTGGTGAATGGATGGACCGGCTCCATCCCTGATGATCCCGGATGGTGCCGGACCCGGAGGTCAAGGGAAGGGGTTCAGACTGTGGTGAATGGATGGACCGGCTCCATCCCTGATGATCCCGGATGGTGCCGGATCCGGAGGTCAATGGAAGGGGTTCAGATTGTGGTGAATGGATGGACCGGCTCCATCCCTGATGATCCCGGATGGTGCCGGACCCGGAGGCCAAGGGAAGGGGTTCAGACTGTGGTGAATGGATGGACCAGCTCCATCCCTGATGATCCCGGATGGTGCCGGATCCGGTGGCCAAGGGAAGGGGTTCAGACTGTGGTGAATGGATGGACCGGCTCCATCCCTGATGATCCCGGATGGTGCCGGACCCGGAGGTCAAGGGAAGGGGTTCAGACTGTGGTGAATGGATGGACCGGCTCCATCCCTGATGATCCCGGATGGTGCCGGATCCGGAGGTCAATGGAAGGGGTTCAGATTGTGGTGAATGGATGGACCGGCTCCATCCCTGATGATCCCGGATGGTGCCGGACCCGGAGGCCAAGGGAAGGGGTTCAGACTGTGGTGAATGGATGGACCAGCTCCATCCCTGATGATCCCGGATGGTGCCGGATCCGGTGGCCAAGGGAAGGGGTTCAGACTGTGGTGAATGGATGGACCGGCTCCATCCCTGATGATCCCGGACCTGGAGCCGGATGCTGCAGCTCCTCAGATGGACACAGCATCCCTGCATCCCATGCAGGTACCAGCATCCAAGCTGGCGCTGAACCCCAAACCATCACCCCATCGACCCCCCCATTCGCTGTGGGTGCCGGGGGGGGGGGGTCCCCATGCTCGGTGCCCCCTCACCTGAAGGGGTACCCGAACTGGACGGAGATGACGCTCATCTCCTTGGTGTCACCGTCGCATCTCACTGTCGCCCCCGTCTCCCCGCTGAAGGAGCCGCAGGCCCCGAAGGCAAAGATAGCGAAGAGCTGCGGGAGGGAAGGAGCGGGGTAATCACAGGACCCCCCCCCCTTGGGTGGGATGCATCCAATTGGGGCTCCTCCAGTGCTCAATGGATGCTCCAACAAAGACCCCCCCATCCCTTCGTTTGAAGCAGGGTGCAAGGTGCTGGAGCAGGATTCCAGCAAAGCAGGAGCATCCCTATAGTGGGACCTATGGGATCTT